AAAATCCCTAAAGTTCAAACTCACACCGAAACCCTTTGCCACAGCGCGTGCCACATTCATATGTTGATCGAAGAAGACGGACATACCTACGACCGGTTTGCCATGATAGACCGCCTCGAGCAGGCTGTGCATGCCGCCGTGTGTAATGAAGAGTTTCACATTGGTATGGGCGAGTATATCCTGTTGTGGAAACCATTTGCTGACGTAAACATTCTTTGGCTTGCCAGGTAAGTCATCTTTCTCAAATTTCCACAAAACATTCACTGGTAGTTTGGCAAAAGCATTCATAATGGCATCTAATTTTTCCTTTCGTAGAAACACGCTCTTCACATTCGAACCGAGCGAAAAGTATATAGCGCCATTCGGAGAAGCGTTGATGAAAGCTTCCATGTCAGTTGGTAGTTGTGTGGGTTTGTGATCAATATGCATGCCAGCCACTTCGATAGCGTTCGGCACCAACGGACGTGCATAGTTAAATGAGTAATGTTGATTCAACAGCAGCAGTGAGAAATCCCGACGTACTTCACTTAAATCTGCGGTGGCATTCGGAAAGTATTTCTCGTACAAACGCTGCTGATCTGGAATTATTTTCATATGAGTATATGCCAGCTCCATTGTGTGTACGTATAAATTAGACAATCGGTGATAGAAATTCTTATGATCTAATTTTCTGGCAGTGGGTGATGGCACATACGCTAATGGTGAACTATTATCCACCAATTGGTCGATAGATATATCTGAGCCAAACGTAGAGACACCAATCAGTGGTGCGTTAAAGTGATCGCCCAATGCGTAGAGTGATTCCTGTAGGAACACTTCGATAATAATGAGATCGAAATGTTCTTTAGAGCGTAGTAGCTGCTGAAATTCTTCGTTTTCCAAAACCAGCAAAGAGCCCAACATTATGTAATCCCATACGGCATGCAGTTCCTTCAATTTACCACCAGCCATTTCGTCAATTACATCCATAACTAATTCTAGAATCGTAGAGTGTGTAATAAGTATTTTATTAACGAGTTGAGAGTCACTATTTAAGAAATCACGAACCATCATGATCGTCATGTACGCCATTCAAAACTATGTCACGGAAATTTGTAATTGGTGTTTTTTGTGGAAATGCCGAAATCGAAGTGACTTCATGCCCTCGCGCCACCAATGTCTTCAAATACGGTTGTACACATAAATACTGCGAAGGGCCCGTAAAGGGAAACACTGCAAGTATTTTCGCGGTCTCTATGCAATCAATGGCAAAAATTAAAATCATCAAAGCCAATTTTACAAATTTGAAAGAGTCCCATATTTGCATTTTTGTATTGAAACATTAGCGACAATAGTTTATTCACAACTAAGTTAGTTGTACAGAGAGACTGGTATTTTATTTTATTTACTTAGATCTACAAGTATTTTTTAGATAAGCGAATGTAAGTTTGCACATAAGTATATATTTGATATAACTCTGATATCGACAATTACTTATAAGTATTAGTGTTTATTTTAAAAGGTTGATGGAATATACATTTACACATTCCTACGGTACGTCAATTTTGAAATGGCGATAAAGCAATACGCTCTTCTATACAACTGCTTTCCATCTTTGTATGTATGTATATATGTTGGCGTATACGTCTGAATTTACGACTACCCAATGGGAAAACACACTAGTGCCGAACTCGTTTTTCGATAGATCTGAACTAGTCTTAAATTCGACAAGTGGGATCGAAGTAGTACGCTCTGTATTCCTTTTTATATATGTAGTTCTCAACCAGTACTAACATCAGCAGAAAAAAGTTTTTTTCTTTTTGCTTTGGTTTGGAAATGTGTTTTCAATTTGGAATCAAATTTGTTTAAATGATTGTAAGAAATGTAATTCAAACTAAACATTTGAAATAACGAGGTGCTTGCTGTTATTGGTTAGCTTCCAGAAGGTTCAAAGATGTTAAAATGTTAATGCAAAGATTAATTTTGTATTATCACACTATGAAAAAGCATCTGTGAAGTGCAGAGCGAAAGCATATTCAAACGAAAAAAACGCCAAATAAATATCTATTTAAAGTAAACAAATTATGGCTTGGCGTTCCCGCTGCATCCCTTTGTAGATGATTTTCTTAATTCGTAGCCTTAGATATATATTTCTACAAAGGAGTTTTTGTATTCTTTGGGACTTATCATATTTTCTGTGACTTAGTACTTCGGACTTAGTAAATATGCTTTTCGCTAAACGGTTAGAAATATAGAAGGTAGTTCGATCTTTTAGAAAACGATGCATTTTTAAATGTGCTTGCTTCTTGCATGGAAATAAAATTTTTTAGAAAAAGTTGACTTAGCAAAATTTCACTTCGCTTGACAAAAAAAAATAAATAAAGCATCAAAAAGTGTAATGTTTTATTTAATACACGGCCTAGAGATCAAAAACAAGTCGTTTTTGAGCAAAAAAAAAAAAACGACTTCAATTCTCGTTTAAAGTTTTAGTGTACCGTTAATTTCTTTATGATCCAATAATCCGATCTAAGCCAAATTAATATGGGACCACCTCTTAGGTACCACCTTTCCTTTAAAATAAATAATTATACAAATCGGTTAACGTGGTCCAAAGCTATGCGGTAACATACATAAAAAAAAAAATATTCTGACGAATTGATAACCTCCACATTTTTTTAAGTCGGTTAATAAATTATAAAATTATTATAAAGATGAGTAACAAACCCAACAACGTAAAAGAAAAAAGCAGTTTTGTGAAAGTACCACATTTTGCTGCTTCTGAACTTTTCAATTTAAAGTGAGTGGTCGCAGAAATGATTCAAATGCAAATATGTATACCATCAAAATGTCTTTCTAGGTTTTTTTTTTTGGTCGGAGAAATCTGAATTTGCAATTTATTTTTTTCCCAAATATGGCCGCTAAGGTGCGCTATGATGCAAAAACATGGATGAACATGAAGGAAAAGTGTCAACAAAGTTTCTCAATAATGTTTATTCATGTTTTTGTTTTAACCAAATCGCACGCAGTCGCCGTTCTTGGTAAAAAGGGATTGTAGACTTACACCCACAGAAAGGCATTTAAAAACCGAAAGATTACTTTTCTATATGTAATCCAGACATTCAAACAGTTTTAGTTTCATCAATTCCCCAGCTGATTGCCGAACACTGCTATCATACTGGCCCGTTTTTGGCGATAAAGATCTAGTATGGAACTTGAAATTCGGTTCACTAGTTCGGTTTTCACTGTAGGGTAGTTATCTATTTATCTAGGCATGTCGGTATGTTGTTAAAGATGTGTGCATATGCCTTTCTTTAAGTTATCTCTCAATTTAACATTTGATACGACCTCGGGTATTTGTAGGCACCTTGGTCATTATTATGTATTAATGTGAGGAAAAGTCTGCATTAGTGTAGTTGTTTATTTAGGTTTAGGTTATGTGCATATAACACAATGGAAGTGTTATGTACAATATTATTAGGAAGAATTACTTAGCATAAGAACTTTACTATAAACAAAGACATCTACTTCGTAGGTGGGTGATCTATATTCTAAATATAATACGCGACGGGATTTTTCGTTCGGGTCATAAGATCTGCAGCGTTCCACAGTGCCGCCTAAGTGGGCAAAAATCTAAAAGAATCTTTGTCTGCAATGTGAAAGTGTTTGGTATTTTTGGAATGGTAATTTATCCACTAAAAATAATTAAATAGAAATTTTCCTATAAAATGAATTATATGCCGCCAGGAAGCTACTAAGTTCGATAAATTTTATACTAAGAATATTAATAAGAGCATAGCCATGCGTAAGCTTTTAACCGAAACAAATGTTAAAAATACGTTCTTTGAAATAAAATGTTGGTTTGACATTTTTTTTGTTTTCATATAGATAGTAGAGAGCTGCACGATTAAAAATTTTGGAATAAAATTAAACGCAGGGTGTTCCTACGGTATTCCAGAAAAAATTTTTTTTTATCAAAATTTCAAAAAAATGTAAATTTTAATGGAATGAATAAAAAATACATGTGAAAATATGTTATTTTTTATTATTTTAGTAAATAGTATGGGTTTTTAACTTTCGAAAGAAGAAATAAAAGCCTGCTCATTTTTTGCACTTTTTTAAGTATTGCGTTTTTTGCTAATGCATTTTTATTTTTTGTCAGTGCCATTAGATCTGCACGATTCGTTCTATATTCAAAAACAAAGTGTCAGATTAAAAAGCTCCACCTGTAGAAAATATAAGTTTTTTTTTAAAGAGTTGCCACCTGTTAAAAAATTTAATTAGATTTTTTTTTAACGAGTTAAATGAACTATTTATTAAGAGGTGGGTATCAATTGAAATGTGTATGAAAAGGGTTTTATTTCTTAACTACATGGAGAGGGTTGCCACCTCTTAGAAAATCAAATTCCATTGCAGCGAAAGGAATTAGTTATTGAAATATATAGGTATCACCATATGGGAGTCAGACGAAAGAGGTTTAGGAAGGTTTTAGCTTGCAAATATTACGAAGTGGGTTGCCACCTGTTTGTAAAGTCAAACTTAGTTAAACTAAAATAATGACTGTGTCAAACCAAAGGTTTATGACATTGTATTTTTTAATTTTATTACAAATGCGTTCATACATTGCCAAAGAGCGATTTGTTCTGATTCAATTCATTTTAAATTACTGGCCTCTTAAATTAACTAAGGAATATTTTTACTCTTCACTCATTTCTTGCTTAAAACGTCTAGTTTTTCTTTTGTCTGATACCCATATTGATATACATATTTCAGTTACCTTATTTCCTTAATTAAAGTGAATTTGATTTTTTTTAACATGTGGCAACCCTTCTACGTGTCGTTTTGAAGTAAAGCATTTTCGCACCCATTTCGATTGATACCCATATTTTAATATCTAGTTAATTTAACTTATTTAGTAATTTTAATCAAATTTGTAACAGGTGGCAACCCTTTTCAAAAATAAAAAACTTGATTGCACATCTACAGGCCAAGCCCTGTCATCTGACACCTCACTTTTGACAATAGAACGAACTATATGTACATACCTATGTAAATGGCACAAGAAATTTTCAACTTCAAACTGCATTTACAGTGAAAGTAAGAAAGTTATCCAAAAATAAATTGCATTTTTGAATTTAGCGTCCCCAATTTTACTAAGAAGCGAGTTTTCATTTAAATCCGTCCATAATTCTGTTTTTGCCCACATTTCATATGGAAGGGAAGCACTGTGCAGTGGTCCAGCTTGTCGTCACAATTCGGATCAAAGCGAGATACTTAAACATTTCGCTCATTTGCGCTAACGATCGGACGGAGGAGAAGAACGAGCGCTGGCCCCATCGTGTATGTATATCAAAATCGTGCCAGGGTTAGCAAGGAAGAGATCTTTGGTCCCAAGCGTAGGAAAATTCATCCTCCAAATCACAGTCGCGGTTGTTTTGGTTATAATAATTAAGAAGAAGAAAATCACCTTAATAAGTGTTAAAAATATTTATAATTATGTTATGTGATTTATAAAATCGAAGTTGAAATAAAAATACTAGTCATGCCCTAATTAAAATTCTAATAAATGCTTATGATAATAAGTACATTCGCCACTCAAAAATAATTATTTCTTATCTACTACATGTTACCTACATATGTATAAAGAACCCAGAAAGTGTTTTTAATTGCTTTGTATACCATAAATTAATTAAGATTTTACAAGTCGTTCAAATATTCCCACACAAACAGGTGATAAGCCAATTCGGTTTAAATGCACACAAATATGTGCCAGTAATATTGAAAGCCATCTAAGACAAACAAAAATTGTTTATCAGTTAATCCATCCCCCTTTTGTACAAAGTTCTAAAGTATTGCTTGGAAAACAGTGTAAATTACCTTACCACGCGATACGATTATTTTGAATATGGCGGCGAAATCGTGTATTAGTATGTGTGTGACATAACAGTAAAAGAAGAACCTTAATGACGCTCCAAAAAAAATAAAAATAGAAGTGATCTCGTCACAGCTGCATTTTAAACAGTCACGGTGTTGCATTGTATACGCCAAAATAATTACCCTAGAAATTACCTTTAAAGAGCTTTTATACAAGCCAATAAATATACTAGAGACCGTAGACACGAAAAAAAAAAATTAATAAATAATTTCAGGCTTTTATTATTTTGAGTCAGAAAAATCTATTTTTTTATTTCTTCAATCAAAATATGTCAAGTTTATTCTGCAACATTTGAAAGCAAAGCTAAAGTTTTATAATTTTTTTTTTTGGTCTTCAATGTTTTCAACAATTTCAGAAAGGTTCTCGAAATTTTTGAAAGTTGCTGAAAAGCATCG